AACTGAGGCTCAGAAAGGAAAACTAACTGATCCCCAGTCACCCAGTGGTAAATGGATTTGCTGGCATTCATAATCAGGAAGTCTGGTCTCCAAAACCTCCACTCTAGACGACTAAGCTTCCACTGCCTGGCAAGTCCACCCTCTGTGGTCTTCCACATGCTGCCCAGTGTTGTCCATATGATGCTAGAATTGCCTCTTCAAGAACCTGTGCTGACCTTGACCTCACCTGGAGTTCACCTCCCTCAAGACTGCTTTCCCACCATGAGTTTGTCACTCAGCACAGCTCAGTGGCTCACTGAGGTTATTTAGCTTAGACTCCAGGGCAGGACTTGAACACAGGTCTATCTGGTTCTAAAGCAAATTAGTCCTCCTCTCCCTGAGCTATGGTGTCCCTCAAAACAAGCATAAAACCTACAAAAGAGGCAGAGAGGCCAGGCAAGATGCTAGGGTGGGGGCAGACAAGTGCCACAGGCCGTCATGAGCCCAACAACCTGGGGGTGGGTTAAGAAGGGGCTGCATCCTGATGGATGGATGGACGGACTCTGGGAGGCCAGATGGAGGGGAGGTCCAGCAGGTGCCCAGGCAGAGGTGAGAAGGTGAGCTGGAGGAGCCATGAAAATACAGGTAGATGAGGGGGAAGGGGAGAGGGGTGATGAGGAGGAGCTGACCTAGGAAGGATGGTCCCAGACACATGGGGACTTTATCATCAAGCTGACCTTGGGCTTGAACTCAGCTCTGCCACTTCTCAGGGATGCTGCGTTTACTTAACCTCTCTGGGCTGCAGTCTCCTGTCTGTGAAGTGAAAATCGTACCTCCTTGGGTTGCTATAAACCACTATAATGATTTTTTATTATACTTTTTTAATATATATATATATATTTGGCTCAGTGGTAAAGAATCTGCCTGTCATTGCAGGAGACATGGATCCGATCCCTGGGTAGGGAAGATCCCTTGGAGAAGGAAATGGCAACCCACTCCAGTGTTCTTGCCTGAGAAACCCTATGGACAAAGGAGCCTTGTGAACTACAGTCTTGGGGTCACAAAAAAGTTAGACACAATTTAGTGACTGAACAACAACAAAAATATATATTTGTATGCTTTCGCAATAAAATAATAGTGGTATTCAGTGTTTTAATTGTTATGATATCATATTATAAGCATAATTTTACATCTACCTTAACCCAAAATTAATTGTTAAAGATATATCCATAATAAATGAATGAATGAGTTAATTTAATAACCAGCCTATGGTGATAAAGGTTTCTCCAAAGATAGTGGACACTCCAATCCCTGGGGAGGGGTTCAAGCACAGGCCAGGTCATCTTTTCATGGCTCCTCCACCCTCTGGGTCCTTCTTACCTCTACCTGGGTACCTGTCGATCCTTCCCTCCCTTTGACCTCTTGTAGTCTGTCCATCAGATGTGATGTCTCCTGAAACCCTCTCCAGTTTTCAGGCTCACATATGCTGGTGGGGAAGTGGCTGCTTCACAAAAGGTAACTAAGAATAATAATAACAATGCAGCCTGGCAGTTATGCTACAAGTTAAGGAAGAACGTACAATTATGACACCCTGACTACTTCCTCCCACTCTTCCAAAAATTAATCTTGCCTTTAAAGAGCTCCATTTCCCCAGAGTAAGAGCCACTTTATTAGAGAAGGCCCTTCCCCACAAAGATAGAACAAACAAACCAATAAAACTCCCCTGGTTTCAGCATCGCTTTGGAAATCAATGTACTATGATTGTGAATCCAACCTCTGTTGGCAGCTGCCTAATTTTAGCTGGATCTTTGCAGGCTTCTCACTGGGCTCATCCGCCCCCATGGACCAGCAGTACTGTTCCCAGAGCTTCATTGATCTTTTGGCTAAAGTGTCCTAATGAAATACAAATCTGTTGTCACTTAAAAAGCCATCTGTCATGGCGGCACACAAGAAATGCTACCAGGAGAACAATAACCATAATTTCATTTTAAGACCCAGCCTTCCTCCCCCTTTTCCTGCCAGAAAACAAAATCGATATCTTTTACTGTTTCATTTTGTCACAGAGCACTAAGAGGAAAGCCATCCATAGGGTGTTAAAGATATTTCCAATCATGTGTGAACTTCCGTTTGAAGGGCCTTTGCCTCCTTGAGTGAGTTAGCCCCTATTTGCATGAGAGGAGTTAGCCAATACTTATTTGGTATTTCTGTTCTGGGGTACTCTGCCTGGGTAAGTGGCTAAGGAGGTGACAGGTGTGCAGGGTTCTCAAAAGGTCTGTGGTCCAGGGATGTGTAGATAAGTATCAGGCATTCCTGGGGGGAATGGTCAGAATGGCAAAGCCCATCATTGTCCTGTAGCCCAGAGCCCAGGCAGTGGGAATTTCCAGGAGAGGGAGAAGGAAGGTCTGCTGCTTGCAGGGGGAGAGTGGGCACATGTTTTCCTGGCAGGACTGGATCATCACGTCTGACCCTTTGAGTGTCCAGCTGCCTCATCCTTCTAAGTGAGACTTTGAGACACAGGAGGAAAAACACTCCTTCCAATGTCACCCAGCAAACTGATGGCGGTTAGAGGGATTGCCTTACTGACATTCCCTCTGGTCAGCTCCTTAGGGGGAGATGCACACGGGGCGTCAAACATTGGGGGTACAAATGTCCCTGCAGTCTGTATCTTACAGGCCTCAAGTCTGGACTTATGTTGAAAGGTACTTGTTGACTTAAAAAAATATTCATGACCTAAAAGTTTATTTGGTGGGATTTTTCAGAACTTCAAGCTCTGGAGATAGCATCTCAAGTGACTCTGAGAGAACTGCTTCAAGGAGGGTGGGGAGGAGCCAGGTTATATAGAAGCTTTGCAACAAAGGGCAGGTAGTCTGAACATCAAAAGATTGTTATTAATTAAAGAAAACCAGATGTCCCAAGTTAAGAAATTTAGCACTTTTCCATGGATGGTAAGAGTCTGGGCTCACAGAAATCATTCCTTTGATATGCACCTCAGTCATCTGCATCCAATATTTTGGTCACCTGAAGTGAAGAGCCAGCTCACTGGAAAAGACCTGATGCTTAGAAAGATTGAAGGCAAAGGTAGAAGAGGACAATATGTATCTGTAGAATAAATGAGGGAAGAGGCAGAGGAGCTTGGGAGGGAGGAACATCTGAGCAGAAGAACCGGGCAAGAGTAAGCCGGTTTAGATTAGGAAACAAGACAAGGAACAGAGCAGATTTAAGACAGGAGGAGAGATCATGGGCACAGCAGAAAAGGTCTATTAATAGATTTGCTGCTATTCAGTTGCTAAGTAGGGTCCGACTCTTTGTGATCCCATGGACTGCTGCCCTGACCTTCACCATCTTCCAGAGTTTGCTTAAATTCATGTCTACTGAGTCAGTGATGTCATCCAATCATCTCATCTTCTGTTGCCCCCTTCTCCTTCTGCCCTCCATCTCTCCCAGGATCAGGGTCTTTTCCAAAGAGTCGGCTCTTCACATCAGGTGGCCAAAGTACTAAAGCTTCAGCTTTTGCATCAGTCCTTCCAATGACTATTCAGGGTTGATTTCCTTTAGGGTTGACTGGTAATTAATTAATAGATTAAGCATCTGAATCTCTGCATTCTGATTCTGACTCTGCCACTTTCTGTGTGACTTTGGACAAATTATTTAGCTTCTCCTGGCCTCTGTTTTCCATAAACTAGAGATCATGTCTACCTTACAGGATTCTTGTGGAGTTGAAACAAACTATGCATTAGGTCCTACAATAGGAAATAATTGATATTTGACTATTTTAACCTGAAAATGCTACAGGAACCTAAGCCCAGGTGACGAAGATCCCAGGATGCTCAGCCCTGACTGGCCCCTCCACAGATGATGTCCTTTACATGTGTTAGGGTTATGGCTGTTTTGCATCACAAGCGAACATGTCCACTGTCCCTTGCTGGCCTGTTCCAAGCCTGGCATCCTCTCAGGCAGCGTCAGAAAGCCTGTGGCTTGGGAAGCACAGAGAATTCCCCGTATGTTGCCACAAGGCTAGCATTGCAGATCAAGGCTTCCGGACTTTCACTTTCTGTATTTTTCCAGACAATTGAAGCCTTTTAACTGACAATTTGCCTCACACCAGGTGAACCTGGGAACCTGATTTCTAGAAGGCAGGCCTTGGCAAGGGTCGGGATGGACATGTGAATCTTTCCTGTGTCTGGTGCTCCCAGGGTGCCTTTGAGGAGGTAGGGATGGGGAGCAGGACAGCAGGACCCTGAAGGGGGAAGGAGGATGAGGTGTAGCTGTCAAGTGGTCTGTTTACTTCCATTCGCCACAGGTTGCCTTTAAATGAGATAAGATCATCCTCTAATCCCCTTTATCTCTGTTCAGTATGTCTAGAAAAGTGCTACTTGACATTTTTGGTGAATGTAAATATGTAAGCGTAAAAAGTACATGATACCCAGTGCAAACTTAGGATGGAGAAATGTGAGAGTATCACAGCGTGCCTCCTTCACGTCTTGAAAGTCAGACCAGGTGAGGTGAAGTGGGGGCCGATGCCCTGACTCCTGTGGGAAGTATGCTAGCATCCCTCTACAGGTTCCTGTTTGGGGAGTGAGTATGGGGGAGGCTTGGCCCTTGTGTCCTCCTCACACCTGCACCCCCTGATGGGGAATGAGGCTCATACTTCCCTTACCTCACCTCACCTCACCTCCTTCACCCCACCTCACTTCATCTCATCTCATCTCATCTCATCTCACCTCATCTCATGTCATCTCACTTACCTTACCTTCCTCACCTCGCCTCACCTCTTTCACCCCACCTCATCTCAACTCACCCCATCTCCTCTCATCTCATCTCACTTACCTCACCTTCCTCACCACACCTCACCTCACCTCACCTCCCTCACCTCAACTCCTTCACCTCATCTCGCCTCATGTCACCTCATCTCCTCTCATCTCATCTCACTTACCTCACCTTCCTCACCACACCTCACCTCACCTCACCTCCCTCACCTCAACTCCTTCACCTCATCTCGCCTCATGTCACCTCATCTCCTCTCATCTCATCTCACTTCCCTCACCTCCTTCACCTCTCTCACTTTACCTCTCTCTCTCACCTCATCTCATTTTACAAGGCAGCCTTGACTGCCTTTTCAGTCCCTGCTGCCTTCTGGTCTCCTTGTCAGCCTAAGCTGGCCTACGAAACAGCTCCCTTCAGCCCGAATAACACACCTTCTCCCTACCCTTTACTCCCTGCAGGGTCTCAGTCTCCGACAAGCAGAGAGAGGCAGTTGCGGGCCATGACGCTGAGCCATGGCTTCAGGGGCTGAGCAAGGTGAGTGGTGCCTGCCGAGGACTGCTTGACTGGAGCAGGGATGAGGCTGCCTAACCAGCTTCCTGTCTCATATGGTGTCCCCATTACCCTGAGGCCCAGGGCCATGGACTGTCCACAGGACACATGCTGTTCACTTTAAATGTGGCATCCTGCGGACCATGATCATCCCTGAAGGAGTGTGTCCTGAAAGTGAATTTATGAAACCAAACACTCAAGAGGCACATCCCAGACTCTTCACCGTGAATCTGAGTGACCGTGGGCCAAAGATTCCATCTGTCTGATCATAGGAGTAAACATCGAGGATAATGGGAGCCAGGGTCTCATTGTTAGAGAAAAGAGTAACAATATGATCAAGGGGAAAACTACAATCAGCCCTTTTACAAAATCTGTTGTTTTTCCTCCTCTGAAAAATAGAGATGACCGTAGGACTCAGCTCCTAGGGTGGCTGTGTCCATCCACACACACACACACACACACACACACACATCTCAACCATTTATCTTTAGCATTTTATTGTTATTACTATGGATACCTGCAGTGTGAAAACACCCCCTGAGTAGCAGAGCCAAGAGGCCCACTTCTGACCTTGACCTTCCTCTTATACCACTGGGAACCCACACGGATTTTTTCCTCTTGATCTTTTATCATCACTGAAGTCAACTCTGGGCTACGAATTTATGAATATTAATAGGACAGACATGCCATTCCTAATCTTGTTGACATTTTCAAATGGTTCAGTAAAACATTGTTCACAGATGCATGAAAGATAAAATTCATGTCTGATTCATGACAAATTATGAGTTCCTGGGTTCTACTGTTCCTCTCATACTTATTTGTTCATTTAATAATAATATAAGTATTATGAACGGCCATGGGCACTATACTAGGGGTTGGGGATAACTAACATTCATTCATTCATTCATTCATCCATTAAATGAAAATTATTAAATGCTACCACAATCAGGGAACAATTACCCCAGTGGGGTAGGGGGTCATACTGGGAGACAGAGGGGTGAGGTGGGGTCTCACATCAGGGGGAGTGTGGAGTCGTGCAGCTAAGGCTATGTTGGAAGATTGATTTCAGACTGGGAGATAATGAGGACCAGGTTTCTCACTTTTGGAAAGAGGAGTTAGGGATATGGAAAGGGGGAAAACCATCATTCCCACTGACAAAATTCTACAATGCAGAACCAGGGGTGGGACAGTGAAAACACTTCAGATAGTTGGTTTTGTCACAGAGGTACCTGGGTTAAAAGGAAGCGATAAGCTGTGGGAAGCGTGGCCTTGGCCCACCCGCCATCGTGGCCACTCTCCCCCTGGGCTACAGCTGTGCCCTGGGCAGCCCTGTGGTCAGGTCCTGGTTTCTCACCATGGGCTCTGCCAGTCCATAGAACTCTGCTCCTGCCTGGGAGGGTGCTGTGGGCTCACCTGGCCTCCTCATGTCCCCAGAGGAACCCCTTAGGCCTCCACCCTAGTGTCCCGGGGCCCTTCCTCCTGCAGGTGCCCTGGGAACAGACTGGGAGGAGGTTTAGAGTGAAGGGCATGCATTAGGAAGCTGGAGTGGCAAATTCTCCCAGGGAGGGAGGGGTGCACGTCTGGGTGCTGCATCGCAGTGTCCCCATAGCTCCTGCTCCCACCACTCCAAGAGGTCCCTCTTGCGGAGAAGTGCTACAGCCCTGCCCTCCACAGCTACATGCCAGGGACTAGCTGGGGTGGAGGTTAGGGGGCGCAGCAGAAAACCAGGACTCAGGCCCCAAGCTGACCTCTCCTGGGCCATTTCACTCCTGAGCTCCCTGGGGTCTGCTGAGGCCTCTCTCTGGACTGAATCAGACCCCAGCTTTCCCATCAGTCTTGCTTTCTTCCCTCCTACCCCCAACTGTGGATCCCAGGGGGGTACTTCCTAGGTATCCTCTATCTAGCTCCCCTAAGAGCAACAGCTTACATCGCTACAATAGAACATCAAAACTCCAAAATGAAAACAAAACCAAAAAACACTGTCACGATACTGCTAACTAGACTACAGACCTTACTTTGATTTCATCAGTTTCTGTATGCACTCATTTGTGTATGCACACATTGTGTATATAAAATGCTATGCAGTTTTATCATATATACAGATCCATATAATTGCCACCTGTATAAAGTTTAGCACCGAAGAATTCATGCTTTTGAACTGTGGTGTTGGAGAAGACTCTTGAGAGTCCCTTGGACTGCAAGGAGATCCAACCAGTCCATACTACAGGAGATCAGTCCTGAGTGTTCATTGGAAGGACTGATGCTGAAGCTGAAACTCCAATACTTTGGCCACCTAATGCGAAGAGCTGACTCATTGGAAAAGACTCTGATGTTGGGAAAGATTAAAGGCAGGAGGAGAAGGGTTCAACAGAGGATGAGCTGGTTCGATGGCATTCCCGACTCAGTGGAGATGAATTTGAGTAAACTCCGGGAGTTGGTGATGGACAGGGAGACCTGGCACACTGCAGTCCATGGGGTCACCAAGAGTCGGACACAACTGAGTGACTGAACTGAACCAAACTGATAATTGCCATCATAAAGGAACTTTCTCATGCTGTTTATCCTTATTTTTTTAAATAAAACATTTCAAGTGCAATTGAACCCTGAACCCAACCCCATTCTCCATCTCCTTTCAGAGAGGGGACCACCACTTCTAAGGTATCATATGTACATGTCTCCAAGAGAGAATCCCCATGGACAGAGGAGCCTGGCAGGCTATAGTCCATAGGGTCACAAACAGTTGGACATGACTGAAGTGACTTGGCATTCCAAAAGAGCTAATATTTGGCAAGTGCTTGCTGCACATCGAAGTTCCATTCTAAGCTGTTTCCATGCAGCAATATGTTCCCTACTCACCATAACCCAGGCATTGTTTTCCCCAGTGAGGATGCTGAGGAACAAGGAGATTAAGACAATTTACACAAGGACCAGAAGTGCTGACACTGGGACTTGAACCTGCCTTCACAGCCACTATTCTATATTGATACTCACATGCCTTCTTGCCACAGATGTTGTCTACTCAACAAGATGTCTAGGAGATCCACACAGTTTGGTATCTTCAGACAGAATTAATTAATGTTAACCACTCTATAGTTTTCCCTTTTATGATTACACTACAATTTATGTAGCCATATAGATGCCAAAGCCTTCGACTGTGTGGATCACAATAAACTGTGGAAAATTCTGAAAGAGATGAGAATACCAGACCACCTGACCTGCCTCTTGAGAAACCAGTATGCAGGTCAGGAAGCAACAGTTAGAACTGGACATGGAACAACAGACTGGTTCCAAATAGGAAAAGGAGTACGTCAAGGCTGTATATTGTCACCCTGCTTATTTAACTTATATACAGAGTACATCATGAGAANTACTTTGGCCACCTCATGTGAAGAGTTGACTCATTGGAAAAGACCCTGATGCTGGGAGGGATTGGGGGCAGGAGGAGAAGGGGATGACAGAGGATGAGATGGCTGGATGGCATCACAGACTCGATGGGCATAAGTTTGAGTAAACTCCAGGAGCTGGTGATGGACAGGGAGGCCTGGTGTGCTGCAATTCATGGGGTCGCAAAGAGTCGGACATGACTGAGCAACTGAACTGAACTGAACTGAACTGATTCCTAGTGGTGGATATTTAGAATGTTACATTGTCTCTACTACAAGCAATGGTGCAGGAACCTCCTTTGCCAGTCTGCTTGTGTACACATACCTGAGCTTCTCTGGGGTTTATTCCTACATGTGGAATTACTGAGTCTTGGAGTAGGAGTATCTTCAACTTTGGAGGACATCGCCAAGTCTCACAATGTTTGTAGTAATTTATACTTCCACTTGCCAGGCTTAAGAGTGTGGAAGGACATATCCCTATTATTTTAATTTGCATTGCTTTGATTTCTAGTGAAACTGGGTTTATCTTTTGATTACTGGTCAAGTATTTTGCCTTGCTCTGTGTACGTTTTTCTATTGGGTAGCTTGTCATGTTCTTATTATTAGTAAGAAATTTTATATTCTGGATGATAATTCTTAATTGGTAATATGCATGGCAAATATCTTCTTCCATGCTGTCCTGCTTTTATTTTTTCAACTTCCACTAAAGTGTCTTTTACTACTGACAAGTTTTTAATTTTATTTTTTTATTGTATTAGATTCTATCAATCTCTTCCATTATCGTTTGGGCTTCTGCATATTTTGTTTAAGAAATTATTTTGCCTTTACGGTCATAAGGATACTTTTTCAACTTTTTTCTAATTATTTTTAAGTTTTATCTTTTGTGGTTCTCATAGTAAAGTTTTACTTTGTACAGCCACCTTTCCTGTAAGACATAAATATCTCCTCCTACATGAAGCCCCCTTCCTGGCACTATTTACCCTGCCATCTATCTTTCGTCTTGTTTGTAAGACCTCCTCTACTGTATAAGGAATTTCTGCATACATCTTGGTCTGTTTCTGGTCCTTCCACTGGCCTCTTCACTTTCCACTACACCAAGCCTGCAAGGTCTGAAACACGAGAGCTTTACCATAAACCTTGGTGTTGAGGAGGGTGGGTTGTCCTTGTTCTTCAAAATTATTCCCCACATGAGCTTTTGAATCAGCCAGTCAGTTTTACCTGATGCTCTGTTAGGATTTTAATAATTGCAACTACATCAGATTCATAGATTCTCTTGGGGGATAATTGACATCTTAAGACTATTGGCCCTTTCCCTCTATCGGCATGTTATATCTCTCCCTTTATTCAGCTTTTTTTTATGTCCTTCAATTACATTCTGTAATTTTCTCCTTAAAGGTCTTGCACATAGTTTCATAGATTTATTCCTCAGCACCTTCTATCGTTTATTGGAATATTGGGCTGAGGTATGACTCCTGATGGAGTTCAGTCATTTATGAACCTCAGGATCCTAGTTAAGTTCCTTAAATGGTGCAATTCTCAGCTTCCTCGTAAATAAATATACCTCCATCATAGAGTAGATGTGAAGAGTGAATGAAACCAAGA